TTCCCCATGTGATCTTCTGCATTTCCACGGTATTAACTGCCATCTACACGATACTCTCAGATTAATCTTTCAACCCCGAGCTCCTTTCCTTAATGTCAGATTGTATATCCAGTTGCCTACCTTTTCATCTCTTCTCAAATGTCTCATAAATATCTCAAACTCTTCATGTCCCAGCCTGGATTCGCATTCTTACCTGTTCCCCACAGGCTCGCTCTTCTCCCAGGGCCTCCACACCTGAGCGCACAAGGCCAACAGCTTGCCCAAACCAGAAAAAGGAAAAATTCCAGAAGTCATTTTTGGCTGCTGTCTTTCCCATCCCCTACCTCCAGTTTTGTTTCTTGTGTTGAAACTTGACTTTCAAACTATTGATGATAACTTTTTATTGAAAAATTTTTTTCTTTGTTCATTAACATGTTCTGGAAGATCTACAATCCTTACAAAGGTTTGCAAGCAAGGGACGATGTTTATAATGGAGCATCTTGGTTTTATATTCTGGTCTCAATTTTTATTCAAAAAATAAATGAAAGCACAAAGGGGCAAAACGTCTGCAACTTACTTTCAAATGATTCGTATTAATGGGCATCCGCAGAGAGGAAATGAGAAAGCATTACTCGTGTGCTTTTAAAGTCTGCTGCTGTTTTAGTATTTATTAACTCTTGAAACTATGTGTATGCATACATATAAAATACAACATTTATTTCCATCACATTATCGACTTTGATGGATATCAGGAAAGACATACTTTTCCTATCAAACAAAATTATGACATGACTTGTCACTTAAATGATGCTTTGTTGTTTTTCTTGAAGCATTTACTTTCCCAAATGTTTGTTTTGTGTGACCTATTGTTCTTGAGGGATGTCGTACTTCCAGAGCCACTATAAATAAATACAGGAGCACCTCACCCTGAATCCTGTAATGGGACCTACTGGTAGTGAGCAGTTTGGGCCTAATCCTGGTCATCTGAGGACCGACTGCACAGCGCAGGCCATAGTGAGGGGGTGGTAGCATGTGATGCATGGGGGCCGCGGGGCAACCACTCCGAGTGAGTTTGTGCTACATGCAGGTCCCTAGACAACATGACACAATCTGTAACGCTGCATATGTCCTTGCTGGTAGAAAAAAATTAGGCCTTTCGAGGATGATCCCTGGGCTCTGCACCTGCAAATGCTGCTGAAGGAGTTTGGGGAAAATATGATTACCTTGTGGGAAGGAAAGAGACACTGTTATCTCTGCAGAACTCCTGGTGGTCTTCAACCTGTGTGTACCTTTTTGGGTCAAGTAAACCACATTTCATAGAGATCTTCAGAATCCAGATGATGCCCTGCATCTCTGTATAACATATGAAAGTGAAATACATGTCATTGAGGAGTCAAAAATGAGGACAAAAATAAAACATTTTCAGATTAATGAAAGAAGGAAAATCTAAGAATTTGCCATCAGCAAACCCTCATTGTAAGAAATACTAAAGGATTTATTAGTAATGTAAGCCCAGATAGCAGGTGTGAAAAGTAAGAAAGAATATGACTACTTTATAAAATAATAATTATGACTTGTGGGTTTAAGATATATTTGAAATGTGTAACAGTAATAATATATAAGTTAGGGGAGAGTAAATGGAGTTAAGAAGTTTCAAATATTGTGTATGCCCAGAATAAGAGTAAACATTCTGAATAACTTCAGATTTTGATAAGTTAAAAATGAATACCTGAATTTCTGGGCTAAACACTAAAATAATAGAAACATGACATATTGTATAAGCTATAGATTAGCAGATGGGGAGAACGTGGAATGAGAAAAAATAATCCAAAAGAAATGGGAAAACAGAATGTGTAAGACAAGTAAAAGGCACACATTAAGATCATAAATGTAAACCCTCAACTTTACAGTATAAATGAAACACAAATGGACGAAATGACTCTTTAAAAATCACAGCTATGGGGTAGCAGGAAAGGACAAAGGGGGTAAGTGGGACCGAAAGGGACTCTGGATGATGGGCACATGAGGCCATGTGCTGACGATGTTTAGTTGAGTTGTACACCTGAAAGCTGCATGCTTTTGTTAACCAATGTCACCTCAATAAACTCAATAAAAATAAATAAATACAATAAAATCATGACTTAAAACTAAAATAAATAAAACAAAAATTACAGCTATGGAAATACCAAACTATATTATTTTTAGTTACATCCAAAACATAAAGATACAGATTGTTTGAAAGTAAAAGGTTGCAAGAAGTAGTATCAAGTGTTTCGTCAGGGTTTAGTCGGAGAAAACAGAAGCCTCTGTAGGCATGTTGAGTAAAGAGATTTATTTAATCCAGAGAATTAGAAGCTTCCACAACCTTTGGAATGGATGGGTCATAAAGATCAGGGAGCAAAGGTCAGCAAGCTATTTCCACACCAAATCTGCTTTCAAGAAAGCAACAGCAGGTGATTCTCAGGAAGATTAATGGCTGCTCCTCATCCAGCTTCCAAATCTTGAGTAGTTTGGCCCTCGTTGGCTGAATTTCATCCAGAATCATAAGAGGAAAGAGGTCCTGGGAACCGGAGTTCCTAGCTTACCCTTTGAAGCAGAGGTAAGTGACGATGCCTCGCTGACCCAGCAATCCAACCGAAAGGAAACAGGTGTAGCTATGCTATGAAACCAAAATAGGCTCTAGGGCCAAAAGCATTACTAGTGATAAAGAGAAGCACTTCATGATATAACACATAAAGATTTAATTCTTCATATTTAATTAATAAAATATAATAACATTTGAATTTGTACTTGCCTAATAACAAAGCCTCAAAATATATAAAGCAAGAATTGACAGAACTTGGAGAAACAGAAACATACACAATCATACTGAATGAACTTTATACGCCTCTCTCAGATTTAAACAAAAAATTCAGGAAGGATATGCAAGATTTAACGTGAACAAGTCTGACCTAATGGACATATACAGTACACCATGCCCTATAACTCCATTCTCTTGTAGCTCACACAGATCACTGACAAATACTGGCTAGATCCTCAGCCGTAAAGAAAATCTCAACCAATTTCTAAAAGCCAAAATTGTACACAGCATATTTTATGACCTCAATAAAATTAAGCTAGGAATCAACAACAAAGAAGTCAGTTGCCTTCTTTTAGAAAATAAAAATCATATCTCTAAATGACTCATGAGTCGTAAAAAATTAAGACACATCTAGAACAAAATGACAATAAAAATGCTGCAGTTTAAAATATGTGGGATGAAGTAAAGCAGCATTTGGGGGGGAATTTGGAGTCTATATGCAAGTGTTAGCAGAGTGATTGAAAATTAAATTACTACGACACGATGAAGAGGAAAATCAGTCAATATGAATAATATAAACAATAATTTTATAAATTTACTTAGTGGGGAAGAATTTATGAGCAAGAATTCAGGGGGTGACAGAATAGATAATGGGGGGAGAGAAAGGGACAATGAATATGGTAAAGGAAAGAACTGGAGTTTAATGAAATGCACTTTAAAGGACTTCTATAGAATAAGGAAGTTATGGTATTTTCTTTTAAATTATCTGCTAAGAGTTGTCAATCCTCCTCCACACGCCCCCCACACAAATCTTTACTAAACATCTACTTGAAAGAGCTAACTCATATTCGAGGTTGCAGGGTGAGAATCAAGAAGAAGGAAAGGGCTGTGGCCCTAAAGAGACGAAAAAACAACTACAGGATGAGCCGTGGAGAGTGAGAATGCAACCGAAGCTGCAGACTGGACTGAGAGATGGCTGGCAGAAGAGTCAGGCCCTGGGACTTCACATGCATCCTAGAGAAGCACGAGAATGCCCAAAGCTATGGAAGGGGTTCCCGGCAGAGTTTACGCAGACCTTACGGGATGGGGTGGTCTATCTGACCTATTTTCATTATGTATCTGAGTGAATTAATTTACAGGGAGGAACCAAACTCTCCAACATGTTCTTGACTCCTATATCTTCTTCTTGGGTAAAAACCTACCCAGGTGTGCTAACGGGCAGGCTGCTTGACAAATCTGGAGCTAAAAAAAAAAGATACGCTAAGTGACCATGGCCATCTGGGGACAAGCTGATATGGCCATGGCCACATCTAGGCCATTTTACAACAATAATGAATGAGGTTATGGGGAGATCAAGGTCACAAAGCTAAGACACTTGGGATTTGAACCCAGGCACATCTGACTCCAAGGCCTGCACTCTGTCCTCTGCATCACAGGGGGCCTTCCAGAGTGCTCCTCTAGACAGTATAGATGGTTCTTGTCTGCTTCAAATCATTGTCTAGGGAGAGAAAGACACCAGCCTGGAATGGTATCTCAGCCTGTCTGAACTGCGGCTCATTGCAAGGCCCAGCACCTTCTATGGCCAAGACCTATGGTTGAAGTCTGCATTTTATTATTTATTTTCAATATATCTCCTGTCCTTTTTGACCTTCTATTTCTCCTTCATTGCCTTCTTTTGCATTAAGTGGATCTTTTCTAGTATATTTTAATTCCTTTGTTGATTTTAAACTATTTTTAGAGTAAGTTTCTTAGTGATTGCTCTAGGAATTATAAGGGACATTTTAATCACAAACTACCTTGGATTAATTTAATTCTAGTAGAATAGGGAAATTTCCTCTGGTATAGCTTATTCCCTATCCCTTTTTTTTTTTGCAAAGATCTATGGAACATGCATCACTGGGAGACTTCTGGGAAATATGATAAACTATTTGCAGTTTAATTACAAATACCTTGTTAGTGAGCTGACAGCACATTACTCAAAGTTGTACAAAGTCATGATAAACCAAGTGCAAAGGTCATGATAAACAGGTTTTACTGATTTCTATGTCTAAAGCTCTATATCCCTTCACACATGCTATGCAAGAATAAAAATGCACTTTGTGTGAAGTCACAGGGGAAGAAGGTGGAACTTCAGCAGTCTGTGGACCAACAAAGCAGTTGTGCGAGGCTGGAATATATTAGATGTGCGATAGTCTCTTGAGTGGACTCTGATGCAGAACCCATTGGCCACTAAGTCATGGGCTGAGCTTCTTGAGCTGAGATGAGATTTAGTAATTCTTGGATGGCGTTTTGTTCCTGGACACTGAGCTGTTTTTCTTGAACTAGATTGAAGGCTCTCATGGCATATTCTTGTGCCTAGAATAGAATTGCAGTGAGAAAAGGAAGTTGTTACAGGGAAGCATTATGCTGGGAAGCCCCACCTGTGCTCAATCCCAGAAACAAGGGAAAGGACCCATCAGCTTCTCACACCAGCTGCCAAGCTCTTGTTGGAAGCTGGGAACACACACGGGGTCTGTACAGCTAGCCACACGTGTGCGGGGTGGGGCAGGGGGCACCATGAAAAGCACCTGGCATAACGAACTAAGTACACCTTCTTAGCAAAGTGAGATTTTGTAGGATCTTAATTAGGGCCTTTTGAACCGACATTGGCAGGAAAAGAAACAACAGGTGCCACAAGTAAATTGCCATTCTGGGGGAACTCACTAATGAGTGTAGTTAAAGCCACTGCTCCATTTCTGCAAGGACTCCCTAGAGCCCTCCTGCCCTGCAGGCTTCCTAGCACTGCCCCAGCTCCCGTTCACCTATGCAACCCTGGGAAGGCCCTCCCTAAGGGAAGAAGATGATCCAGTTCCCATTATGCAGCCTGGACTCAACCAGTGAAACATGTCACCAGCATGTGAACTTTCTGGAATGAGGGCTTACTCTTCGGGCAAAAGCTAGTGCAGTCAGGCAGTATACAGCTGGCTTCAACTAGAGGAATTTCTAGCTCCATTTTAGATGGACTGCTTCTCTAGGGAAACTTGCCTTTGAGGAATTCATCATTAAGTAGTAAAGCATGACCAGGATTTTCAGAACAAAGACAGTTTTTTGCGGAGCTTTGTCAGATGTAGACTCTCGAATGTTTAAGATTGAAGTGAGGATCTGAATGGCTTCTGCTTCCTGTGCTTCATCTGCAATGGAAAGGAAGGAAAGGAGAAACAGGTCCTGAGGGGGCAGCTGAGTCGCCCCTGGTGGATGAGCAGTGGCTGTGAGAGTGGCTGGCCTCCTGAAGCCTCCTCCCAGGGACATTTCGGGAGGCAGCACAGACCACAGCAAGGTCTTCACCAGGACAACTCCTGCTACACACGGAACGGGAAGCCACACGGTTTCAGGCAGCTCCCTAGCTTTGTCTAGCCTGTCATTATCAGAGTAACCTAAAAAAATGCTCAGCCCCAACGTTGCTAAGATTTCTCTCTTTCTGAGTCCTGAATTCGATCTCTCAGGGGATTTGTCACAGTGGGCTTCCTTGGGCCCAGCTCAGCTTCCACTCTGTGGCAGAAGGGGGGAACAGGATTTCTTGCAGCTGCAGCATCTTAATTCTTCTGCCCCCAATCCAAAGATGTTGAAGGAACAGGCTTTCTACTTATAATTTCCCCCAGCAGTTTTTGGATTGACTTTAGTCACCATTTACTGACTACTATGAGTTATAATGGGCCAGATACTTAAAAGCAAGTTTTAAGTACAGCAAGTCCCAAATAACACAGTATTGTTCAACATCATTTCATTATAACATTGACGAGGGAAAAATGATTCCCAGCTGGAGCCACTCTCTGTGTGGAGTTGGCTCATATCTGTGTGGGTTTTCTCCCAGTCCTCAGTCTTCCTCCCACATCCCAAAGGTGTGCACATTAGGTGACTGGTGTGTCTAAGTTGTCCAAGTGTGAGTGAGTGTGGATGTGTGTGTAAGTGGCCCTGCAATGAAAGGAGTCCTGTCCAGTGTGGGTGTACACCTTGTGCTCTGAGCTGCCAGAATAAACTCCAGTCACCCATGACCTTGAACTGGAACAAGTGGATTGGAATAGAATTATATTACTTGTTTTTACTTATCTATTGTATAGGTAGAGCTCACTTATTTTAACATTTAATATTAGAAGTGTTGGGACTTCTGGTCAAGATGGAGGTGTAGTTAAACAAGCTTCACCTCCTTGCACAATCACAGAAAGAATTACAACTAGACCTCAAAATAAAAAATATCCAGAACCATCAGAATATAGAGCTGTATGGAAGTCTGACAACCAAGGATTTAAAGAAGCCACATTCATCCAGGCAGGCCACACTACTAAGGCAGGGAGTCAAAGTGGCTCTACTTAATGCACAGAAACAAACACATAGGCTGCCAAATTGAGCAGACAAAGAAATATGGCCCAAAGGAAAACAACAGATCAAAACCCCAGCAAAAGTACTAAGTGAAACAGAGATAACCAACCTATCAGATGCAGAGTTCCAAGCACTGGTGATCAGGGTACTCAGATAACTCATTGAGTACAGCAAGAAAATAAAAAAGGCCCAGGAAGAAGAGAAGGATACACTAAGTGAAATAAAAAAAAATCTACATGGAACCAACAATGGAGGGAGTGAAGTCAAGAATCAAATCAACGATTTGGAACATAAGGAAGAACTAAGCATCCAACCAGAACAGCAAGAAGAAAAAAGAATAAAAAAACAAGGACAGTATAAGGTGCCGCTGGTACATCTCCAAATGTAACAACATCTGAATCATAGGGATACCAGAAGGAAAAGAGGAAGAGCAAGAAATCAAAAACTTGTTTGAAAAAATAATGAAAGAAAACTTCCTTAATTTAGTGAAGGAGACAGACATACTAGTCCAGGAAGCACAGAGAGTCCCAAACAAGTTGCACCCAAAGAGGGCCACACCAAGACACATCATAATTAAAATTCCAAAGGTTAAAGACAAAGAGAGAATCTTAAAAGCAGCAAGAGAAAAGCAGAGAGTTACTTACAAAGGAGTTCCCATAAGATTGTCAGCTGATTTCTCAAAAGAAACTTTGTAGGCTAGAAGGGACTTCAAAAAGTATTCAAAGTGATGAAAAGTGAGGACCTACAACCTAAATTAATCTATCCAGCAAAGCTACCACTTAGAATGGAAGGGCAGATAAAGTGCTTCCCATATAAGGTAAAGCTAAAGGAGTTCATCATCACTAAGCCATTACTACATGAAATGTTAAAGGCACTTATTTAAGAAAATAAGAATATCAAAACCATGAACATTAAAATGGCAACAAATTCACAACTATCAACAACTGAATCTAAAAAAAACAAACTAAACAAACAAGCAGAACAGGGACAGGATAATAGATATGAAGGGTTATCAACTGGGAGGGTGAAGGTGGGGAAAGGTGTAGGGATTAAGAAGTATACTTTTTTTAAAAAGAAGCATAATTGGTAGGTACAAAATAGACAGGGGGATGTTATGAATAGTATGGGAAATGGAGAAGCCAAATAATTTATATGCATGACCCAAGGACATGAACTAAGGCAGAGGGACTGCTGGAGGGAATAGGAGTGGCAGGCGGAGAGGGGCAAAGGAGGAAAAATTGGGACAACTGCAATAGCATCATCAAGAAAATAAATTTTAAAAAATATTGGAAGTGTTTTGGGTCTTTATTTAGGCGTCTGGTGATGTTTTTGTTACCAGAAATATGCTGTAGGGATTTAACTCTTATTCCTATCAATTAGCCTATGGTAAAACTGGTTTCGTTAAACATTATTTTGCTAATGTCACAGTTTCTAAGAACCTATCAAGGACACTAAGTGAGGACTTCCTGTGTTAAGCTTAGAGAAAAAGACAGAAAGGGTGTATACCATAATGTTAAGGTTGGCTACCTTTGGATATCTTTGATTTCCAAGTTTTCTGCTTTCAGATGAACACTTTTATCATAAGAGAAAGCTCAATAAAGTTACTAATTTTTTAAACTTTAACTTAAATACCTCTTCCAGAAGAAGTCTTCCCTCTTCAATACCATTATCACTTCTTTGTTCTACAGCTAGACTTACAATATAATTTGTACTCAGAAATTTCCTTTCGGTATTTCAAATAGGCTGTCTCACCAACTACATTCTATGTCTTTTTAGCACACACTAGATCCTCTGTCTCTTTATTATCTCAGGGGTAATGATATTGTACAGTGCTATTCCACACTTAGCCTTGTGCTGAGCCTGGGGATGGTGAGACGATTCAGACTCACTGCTGCCACTGAGAAGCTTGCTGTCCAGTAAAGGAAGGGGATAGGGCATCACGACAAATGAGTAATGTGACTTCTGTGTTGAGTCTGCCTAGGCTTATGTGCCTTGTAGGGATAACACATAAGACACAGATACTCTACAGAAGTCACAGTGGACTCTGGCAGGGTCTTTTGTCCTCCAAATCTGTCCGCTGAAAGGCTGTTTGTGATGTTAGGAGTCTGACTTCTGGTAAAATCCCTTTGATTCCCCATCTCAGTTTCCCCATCTCAGTTTCCCCACAAGCCAGATGGGAGAGAAGGCATGTGATCCATGGCAGACACAGCAGCTCTCCCCCTCAGGACAAGGCCCAGAGACTGGCAGGAAGTCACTGCTCTGCGTCATAGGGAGAACTGCCACTTACCCAAGCCAGTGTCAGTCTCAAATCGTTTGCCCAGCAAATCTAATTGTTGGATGCGAGCCCGTAAGAGGGCTTGATAGTGATTGTTCAGATATTTATTCCAGATCTCAGACACCTGTTGGGAAAGAAGATGCAATCAGATACGCAGGCCAGGTCTTAGCCAGTGGACCACCTGCTGGGAGGGCAGCAGGGGAAAACCCGGGAGCCCACACAGGCCTGACCAATGCGAGTGTGACAAGTGCTGGGCTGCAAAGGGCACGTGACTGATCTGCGGACAGCCCTGCTGGGGTCTAATAGCAGTGGCTACCATCTGCCGAGAACATATCACTAAATCTTTACATCCTCACAATGCGCAACTGAGGTACAGTCTTATTATTCCCATTTTACAGAGAAATACACAGAGGCTCCGAGTCATTAAGATCACACTTGACTTTTGGTAAGAGCTGTTGTGTGGCACGGCCAGGCATTAAATTCAGGTCCGTCTGACCCTGAGGCTCATTCTGTTCCAGCTGCAGCGCAATGCCTCCTCCTCACAAGTGGGCCCAAACTATGAATAAACGGTCGCAGCACGAGAGCCTGTATCACACACAGCAATGGTTTCTCACTGAGTGAGGTGTCACTCTATGAACATAACCAATTTTTTAATACATTAGAAACAGTTTAAAATCTTTCATATGTACAGGGGGAAATTTCAAGGGGCATTCATATTTTTTGATCCCTTCATATGACCTGTTGGCAATAATTATCCCTTAAAAACCTCATCTCCTTCTCTACCACATTCCTCACTATGCCCACATTATCTTAGTCCTGTGAGTACAACAGAGCATATGGCATTCTATTTGGAGTTCTTATTTATCCATCACTTATTATTTGCTAATAGTCCTATGGATTCTAAGGATTGGTCTCTTTTGGAAGTGGAGAAACAATTAGAAAGAAAATTGGAATATATCATATATCAGGGTATGGGAACTTGGGCAAGTCACTTTATATCTCTGTGCTTCAAATTTTTCATGAATGATCTGTCACCAGCTGTAAGATACAAGGCCAAAGCGTCAAGGCTCAGCTCCTGTCTTCCCCAGCTCACCTTGGTGTACAGCGTATCTGCCAGGTCCATCTTATTAAGGCCAAAGAAGATGTTAGCCAGGTGAAAGTAGCCTCCTGAGGTCCTGATGTTCTCTGTTCCAAATGCACAACTGGCAAAATAAATCTAGAACAGAAGGAAGAAGGAGAGTGCTTGAGTTCTCTTTGCAAATCATACATCTGACTTTTAAAAAAGACTTGTATCCACAATATATAAAGAACTTCTAAAACAGCCCAATTAAAAATGGGCAAAGCCAGTCAGAGAAAGACAAATACCATATTATTTCACTCCTATGCAAGATCTAATGAAAAGACTAAACTAACAAGCAAAATAGAGGCAGACTAATGGATAGAGAGCAGGCTGACAGTTTTGCAGGGTGGTTAGTAGGTAAAGGGAATTGAACAAAAAGGAGAAAGGACTTATTGACATGGACAATAGCGTGGTGACTGCTGGGATATAAGGGGAGGATGCTAATGGAAAATATAATAAAAATCAATTTAAAAAAATGGACAAAGATCTGAACAGACATGTCTCCAAGAACATAGCAATGGCTAATAAGCACAAGAAGTGAGATACCACTGCTCACACACTAGAATGGCTCTAATCAAAAAGGCAGAATTCAACAAGTATTGTCAAGAATGTGGAGAAAATGGAACCCAGTGCATTTTCATACACTGCTGGTATGAAACTGAAATGATACGGCCTCCATGGAAAACAGTTTGGCAGTGCTCAAAAAATTAAACACATAGTTACTGCCTGACTTGGAAATTCCACTCTTAGGTATATGCCCAAGAAAATGAAAACATATGTCTGCACAAAGACTTGTATATTCTTAGCAGCATTATTCATGACAGCCAAAAAGTGGAAACAACCCAAATGTTCCTCAACTGATGAATGGATAAAGAAAATGTGGTATATTCTGATGATGGTCTACTAATCAGCAATAAATGAAATGAAATATTGATACACATGACAACATGGATGAACCTCACAATAATTATGCTAAGTGAAAGAAGTCAGATGCAAAAAACCACATAGCAATCTATTCACATGGGATGTCCAGGGAACACAAATCCAGACAAACAGAAAGTAGCTGCCTGGGGCTGGGTGTAGGAAAGAGAAATGCCTGAAAATGGGTATAAGGGATCTCTTTAGGGTGATAAAAGTGCTGCAAAACTGGATTGTGCTAATGGCTGCACAACTGTTAAGCTTACTAAGAAGTCATTGAATTATACACTTCAAGTGGGTGAATTTTATGATATGTATCAATAAAGCTGTGCTTTTTAAAAAACTAGGCTGAGGAATCTGAGCTTGATCTAATTCTTAACAGTGCAACCCAGCTCAAGACAGAACTGGCCTCTGTTTCATTTGTCAGAGGATGGAGACCATCTCTGTACAGAGAAACACAGATGAAGAAGTGCATTAGTCAGGCTCATGGGTGGAAATTTATGCACTCTCAAAGTTATTTCCTAAATACAGTTTAATGAAAAGAATTATTTACAGAGACGTGGAAGGGTTAAGGAATCAACAAAAGCTAGAAGAGCACTGGAGATTTCAACAGCAAAGAATTATTACTATCCCGACTCCTCAAAAAGCAAGGGGAGAAAGCAGGGTTACCAGGGCCCCTACCTGTCTCTCCTCCCAACCTCCAATCCCCCGCCACACCTCTCACTCTCCAAACACAACTGAAGCCACAGCAGTGGAGCCCAGGTTGTGTAGTCCATAAAAGTCAGCCTCCCAGGGCAGAGTAGGGCAGAGAATGCATTTGGAGTGAGGGGATATGGAGGCTAATCAGCACAAGAATGTTTCCATTGAGCCTTGGCCGGCCAGCTGCAGCTGCATAGTAGGTTAGAGCATTGTCTTGATACACCAAGGTTATGGGTTCAATCCCTAGTCAGGGCACATACAAGAAGCAACCAATGAATGCATCAATAAGTGGAACAACAAGTCAATGTTTCTCTCTCTCTCTCCCTCTCTCTCTTCCTCTCTCTCTAAAAACAATCAACAATAAAAAAGAATGTTTCCATTGGATTTATAGGCATTGTGCAGTGGCAGCCAATCAGAGGGAGGGTTACCCAGTGGAAAGGCTGAAGAGAGAAGCAACCTACATGAAGACTCATCCAGATTTCAGGCTCAGGAACTGTTCTCTCTGGTAATGTTGTCCAGTACTGAAATCCTGATTTTGGAAGAAACCTCACAAATTTTGGAAGAACTGCTCGATCATCACTCTCATCATCCTATCTAACATTTGCACAGAGTTTTATGGCTTATAAAGTACTTTCAAATGCCACCAACTCATTGAAATTTAATAACCATACCCTGAAGTAGAGACATTGATGTTGTTTATAAAAATAATAGCCAAAGTGCTGCTTGTGCATTGTCCCATTATTGATCTCTGCAATGACCCAAGGAGGCAGAGACCATTTTATAATTTGAAAGAGGTTAAATAATTTGTTCGAGGCTATGTGGCTGGTCAAACCACTGAGCTAGAACTAGAAGTAAAGCCCTTCTCTCAACCAGTGCCCTGTTCTGCCTCCCTTCATCATCCTCAGAGCAGTGGAGGCTTGGAGAAACTATGTGACCTGGCCAAGATTGCACAGTGAGGAAGAAGAAAGGCTTGAGCTCAGGTTGTTAAAATTGTGTCCCTGCTAATACCCCACCAAACAGTCCATAGTAGACCAAAAAGTTATAGAGAAATGCTCAGTTAAAAAAAACTGAACAGAGCTGGTCTCAGAAATATTCAGGTGCTATAATTTAGATTGTTTACATCATTGGCCAGATGATAACGGGCTTCCTCGTAGTTTTCCTTAGCCATAAAGAGGAGTCCCAGGTTCCGATGCAGTAAAGAGTGGGTGGCATTAGGACAATCGGTTGATTTGAGGACTGTCCACTGGGCTTGGGATAGATATTCCTCAGCCTGGACGATCCGGCCCAGACCTGTGCAAAAGAAGGAAAGATTATAATCCATACCCTGGCCAGAAAACACATGATGAAATAAATATGCCTTCACACATTCACTGATTTACTCAGTACCTCAGACCTGTACTGACACACAAAAACTTGTTCGTGAAGGTTCATAGCAGGCTAATCATAATAGCCTCCCCTGCAAAATAGAAACAATTTAAATGTCCATCAAGTGATGAGTAGAATGCAAAAGGTGGTCCATCCACATCTGTGAGTGGAATATTATTCAGTTATGGAAAGGAATGAAGTACTGACAGGCCACAACGTGGGTGAACCTTGAAAACATTATTTCAAGTAAAAGAAGCCAGACACAAAAGGCTATATACTGTATGATTCCATTTATATGAAATGTCCAGAACAGGCCAAGCCACGGAGACAAGGCAGATTAGTGGTGTCCAGAAAATGTGGATATGAGAAAATGCAGTGTGACCGCTAATGTGGATGTGGGGTTCCATTTTGGATTTACTAAAATGTTCTGGAACTCAGTGTAGTGATTGTTGCATAATCATCTGAATATACTATAACTGCTGAATTATACTTTGAAAGAGTGGATTTTATGGCATATGAATTACATGTATATGTATGTACAAGAGCTTATGTTGAATGATGGGGATTCAAAGATGAATCAAAACCATTACCTTTGAAAAAAATGTGTAGTTGGGTTGGGGGAATGAATGAATATGTGACATGAAAACAAATATATATATAAAATAGTGTAAGTGAAATAATAGTAACATCAGAAGGTTTGGAAGAGGTGGAGAGTATGAAGTGTTTCATTCTATGGACGGGATGGACAAAAACACTGGAGTGGGGAGAGGCATGGTCTGTGCTTTGGACTGAACGTTGTGTCCCCCCCAAAAGTCATAGGTTGAAGCCCTAATCCCCAAGGTCATGGTATTTGGAGGTAGGGCCTTTGGGAAACAATTAGCTCATCTGAATGGACTCCTTATTAGTGCCTTTATAAGAAGTACAAAGGATTAGTGCCTTTATAAAAAGAAACACAAGAGAGTTCATCTCTTTCTCAGCTATGTGAGGATACAGCAAAAAGCTGGTTGTCTAGAAGCCAGGAAACACCCTCACCAGACACCAAACCTGCTGGTACTCTGATCTTGGACTTCCCAGCCTCCAGAACTGCGAGAAAGAAATGTTTGCTGTTTAAACCACCCCATCTATGGCATTTGTTATGGCAGCCAAACTAAGACAATGGTGAAAGTCTGAGCTGTTTTCAGAATGAATAAACGTTTTCCAGATAGATGAGGAAGAGAGAGCGTCTTAGTAGAGGTAACACATATGCAAAGGCATGGACCTATGAAATACATTGCCATATTTGGAGAATTATGTATTGGTCTGTGATGCTGGGACACAAAAGTGTAAGGGACAGAGTGGCAGGAAGTGAGGCCAAAGAGTAGTCAAGGGACAGATTCCGGAGAGCATTGTAAGTTGTGTCAAAGAGCCTGATGCATGTGGATAAAAATTAGAGGGTTTTCAGAAAGGAAGAGAGAATTAGATTTGTATTTAGAAGGCTCTTTTGGAGCCAGTGTGGAGGAGGAACCAGAGGGGTGGAAGAAAAGTAGAAGACTTACCAGAAGACTTTTGAAATAGTTCAGGCAAGCACTGTTAAGAGTCTGAGTTAAGACTGCACATGGAGACAGAAAATACATGAAGAGACATTTAGGAGCTAGAATGGACAACACATGGTCACTAAGTGAAAGTCCTCTTTATTTTGATTTTTTAAAATGTATTGATTTGAGAGAAAGAGAGAGAGAGACATTGATTTGTTGTTCCACTTTATTTATGATTGATTCTTGAATGTGTCCTGACTGGGGATCGAACCAGCAACCTTGGTATAGAGGGATGATGCTCTAACCAACTGAGCTACCTGGCCAGGGCATCTAATATTCTTATACTGTTGACATTGAAGACTTTTTGTTTAGCTGTAAAAATACATAACAGCTGCCTGCCTACCAGCTTGCCTCCTAAGGCTCTTGTGAGAACTGAATAGAAAACCACTGACAGTCTCTGCAGAACTATGAAGCATTTCATGTGATGGGTGCTGCAGCAGAAATGGCACCGAAAAGGGTCAAGTGATGAGGATATAAACCACACATAAGGCAACCTTCTGTTCTTTGTTCTTCCTCCCAGGCCTACTTCACATGTAAGCTTTATTTCATTCAAATTATAATCATTTGTCCTATAAATCATTTGATTTAAAAGAGGAGAGGTGTAGAAGAAGCAGTGTACAAGAGGCAGCAAGTAACTTTGCTTGACTGAAGCTCAAACTAACAGGGGAAACTAAAGTGGGAAAATTCTAGATTAGAAGCAAGAGGCCTAGGCCCATGAAGCTGGCTCATGGCAAGTCACATCTTCCATCTGGGTTTTGTCAATAAAAGCTTTAGACTGAGATTCTTTCAAATTTAAAGAAGCAAATGACTCTTAGCTAAAATTGTTTAGATAGAGAAAAAATTGACAGAGGCCATTGCCATATACTGGTAACTTTAAATTTTCTTTGTCTAGATCTCACTCAAGGAGGCAACGCAAAGAGGAATATACCCAAGGCCAAGTTGAACCAGCATCTAAACAAGAATCGTCCCAGAGGAACAGGCACACTTGTTGGGGGGGAGGAACCCAACTATGAGGCTGTAAGTGCACAGAGTGGGATATAGTGAGGTGAGAGGAATGGGCTGTTTCAAGCAGAGTGGGAAGGTACAGGCATGCCCTCTTATACACAGTGCTTGCCTGGGGAGGTGTGGGGATGGTGGAGGTAGTATGGAGGTAAAGCTGACAAAGGAATTTAGATTATCCTAAAGGGCAATCTTAATATTATGTGGAATAGAGAAAGGAGAATCAATTAAGCAGCAGTGACACTTATTTGAAAGGCAAGACCATAGGCTAACACTGGGTTGGTGGCAGATCTGAGAGACATAATGGGGGAAGATCACGGATGACTTGGGGATGAAAGTAAAGGCACACGGAATAAAGCAGTTACAGACAATTCCAAGGTGTGGCTGTGAGATGCCTGGGGAACAAAGGGAATCTGCATTTCCTGAGGACCTGCTCTTGGCCATGCACTATGCTAGGCCACTGCATCTGTGATTTGTCTGCCAACAACCCTGGGAAATAAGTATCCAACGAGGAACTTACAGAAGAGGAAACTTCATTCATTCAACCACATATTTATCTAACTTATTGAGTACATATTAGTGAATAAAACAGACATGATCTCTGACCTCAAGGAGCTCATATAATAAAATGAAGTAAGTCTGCAATAAACTAACGAAACATGAAGCGCTATAAAGGAAATGAACAGAACACAGTGATCAAAGAAAGCAGGGAGAAATCTACAATCCTTTGATTGGATGATTAGAGGACAGCTCTCTGAGAAGGTGATGTTCAAGCAGATGCATGACCTGAAAAGAAGCCAGCCATGTATAAGGAGATGAGAGTGTTCCAGTCAGAAGGAACAGTGTGCAAGAGAGCCCTAAGGTAAGAAGAAGCTTGATGCCGGGATTGCCGAACCAGAGAGCAAAGAGCTGGAATTTGAACCCAGGCTCTCCTGGTTCCAAAGCACAACAACGGTAGGGTGAGATGAGGAAGGAGGCTCCTCTTTGAAGTGTTATTGAGAATACCATTTGTAGTTGATTATAATTCCAAAGTTTTACTTTAAGAAACGCTGAATACTTGTTATTTCCCCACTCCAGTGGGGAGGAATCTCTAAGATGGGAAAGAGGCATGTGCACAAGGGGTGTGACTTATTTAAACTTTCAAAAACCTTGGCAAGGTTTCAGATCAATGACTGTGAGAGTTATAGTAAAACCTTCCATTTGGACAGGAGTTTCCAGCTGGCAAGGCACTTTCTTGTTCATTACACACAACTCATTTAATTCTCAAAACAATCCCATAAAGAAGATTCAGATTCAACAGTGCCCACTAGGTATCAGGTACTGTGGGAGGGGCTTTTGAGTACCTTCCCAGCAGTAAGTACCGTTCTTATGTGAAGACATTATGATCTGCAAGAATAGATGCAGTTCCAGTACTCAATAATCTCATCAATGAGTTTATAATTATTACTGAAGTACCCAGAAAAAAGAAAGAGGTTTCTGACCCAAGCTGGGGGCTTGGGAAAGGCTTCTAGACAAGGGGGTGGCAACACTTGAGACCTGAAGGATGAACAGGAGTTAGTTAGGGGGAAGGGAGGAGAGGAGAAGTGAAAACAGTGGCTAGAGACCAGCCTTCCAGAACAAGGAAGCATCAGAGTGCCTCTAAAGAATCCAAAGAAGCCCTGTTCTGTGTGGCTTAGTCGGCTGGGTGTCGTCCTACAAAGTGAAAGGTTGCAGGTTCGATTGCAAGTCAGGGCATATGCCTGGGTTGCGGGTTTGGTCCCCCATGGGGGGCGTGTACAGAAGGCAACCAACTGATGTTTCTCTCCCACATGAATATTTCTCTACCTCCCTTTCTCCCTCTCTTCCACTTTCTCTAAAATCAATTTTTTTAATCAAAAAAATAAAGAATGAAAAGAAAGCCAGTGCAATTTAAAAGGGAGAGAGAAAATAATGCAAGATGAGGCGAGTGAGAGGATTCATAAAGGCTGGACCAAGCAGGGCCTCATAGATTGCTTTAGGAGTTTGATCTTTATAGTGGAGTGATTTGATCACATTTTGTGTGGAGGCCAGATTGGAGGGAGGCCAGACATGTGCAGAAACCAGTTGGCAGGCAACAGTCCAAATGCGAGATGATGAGACAGGCCAGGGTGACTTCCAAACTCCCGTAACTAGTCAGTGTCAGAAATAAACAGAACCTGGGCTATGTTTCCTTGTCCAGTGCTCTTCCCAAGAGGGAAGGACAATCCAGAATGGGGAGTCAGACCTGAGTGGGATAAGGAGGACATTCTTGCAGTTAAGTGGCCTGGGAGTCAGAACCCAAACCAGTGAGGAGGGGATCCATGCAGAAGGGGTAGCCTGGAAGTGAGCCAGAGCCCACAGAGGGAGAGGAGGGCATCTTGGAAGGGGAAAGGACAGGGCTGGAGAGGGGATCTGGGTTCATAGAAGGAGAACTGATTAAATATGTAAATATATTAATGGAAAAGGAAGCCAGCATTCTCACTGTCAGAGGAGAGCACAACGAATAGGGAATGGGAGAAAATGAGACTAAATCCCGAATTGGCACTGGACTTGATTTGGGATATTGGCATGGACCCACGGCCACACATACAGGGGTGGGCAAAATTAGATTTACAATGGTGAGTACGTGCAATGCAGAGTTTACTCTTGTATTATTATTTATTATTGTTATTAACCTACCTTGTATATTTGTGTATATATAGGTATATAAAAATAAATTTAGATGTAATGTGTGCATATGTCCACAAATTTGTGTGTACATGCACATTTTTACATTTACACATGTTCCCTAAATCTGTCCACTGAGGAAGCCTGGCAGCAGCCACACCCCAACAGCAATGCATACATCTGCACAGCTCTCAGCTTCTGAATTCCATTTTTCACTAAAGGAAATCAAGGCTCCTAGGAGATACATTCGAGAAAGCAGGAAAGTCATTAAAGAACAAAGGAGGGGTGTCAAGGACACACAGAAGCCAGCTTGAATGGGCTGCTACTTCCCAAATCAGGGACAGTGGAGCATGAAATTAATGATAGTAATGGATTATAACCCTTTGAGGAGGAAAAAAACAAGAAACCAAGAGTCTATACTGATGTGAATAAATAAATGAATGGGTACATTGAAAGTTTGATGATGAATGGGATAATTAACATAGTTCAAAATACCTCCCCAAGCCCTGGCTGGCATAGCTCAGTGGATTGAGCGCGGGCTGCGAACCAAAGTGTCGCAGGTTCAATTCCCAGTCAGGCCACATACCTGGGTTGCAGGCCACAACCCCCAGCAACCGCACATTAATGCTTCTCTCTCTCTTTCTCCCTCCCTTCCCTCTCTAAAAATAAATAAATAAAATCTTAAAAAAAGAGAACTCATTAACCTTAAAAAAAAAACCTCTCCATAAATTACTTATTAATTGCAAAGAAGGGAAAGAGTTTCTTTACAGAGAAGAAGCCTGACAGATACCACCTTAATGAAGTAACTTAAATGAACATCATCAGTAATGGAATAAATTGAAAAACATGTGTCAATTTATAGGATGGGATGAGAACACGCCATCACTTCTGTGATATTTCTGCCAAAGATATATCACCTGAATTTAGTCATGAGGCAACATCAGAGAAACACAAATTGAGGGACATTTTATGAAATGATTGGCCTTTGATATTTAAAAATATCAAAGTCATAGACATCAAAGGAAGATTAAGAAACTATTCCAGAATGGAGACTACAGACGTGTGGTAATAAAATGAAAAGCATGATTCTGAACTGTACTCTTTTCCTATAAAAGTGACATTGGAACAGTTGGAGACACTTAAATGGGGTCTGCTTAGTAGATGACAGTAGATGATGGTTAGATTGCGATTATGAAGAAAATATCTTCGCAGGAAATACACACTGAAATATTCAAGGCATGGGGCATTAGGTGAGCAGCTCACTCTCAGATAGCTCAGGGAAAAGAGTTCTTTTGACTGTATTCCCAACAGTTTTACTTTTTTAAAAGTTCATCTATTTTAAAAAGTGGCTATTAATATATAAAAAGTAGCAGCACAGTGCCTAAAATATTGTAGATAGTCCAATATTAATTCCCCTCAAAAATGCTAATTCTTCTCTTTAGCAACCACCATGTGGGACATCTGCGCTCCCTACTCTCAAAACTGCCTCTCATCTGCAGGAGCAGGTCCCTGTGCTTCTGTTCGAACTCTGTGACCCTGGCACAAAGGCAGATAAAGGAGGGCAGATATCACCCTCAAGCTGAGTCAACACAATTTTCTCTTTGGGAATGCAAAACTGGAAATCGGTTGCTAATTAGTATCTATTACCCACCTTGAACCTGGAAGACATGTAAATTCAGCTACACCTGACATTTGGGGGTAGGTGTCTTCTGCAGTAGGTACAGTGTAGAAAAGTCTGGTCTGCAGAGACAGAAAATAAAGCAGATACGGAGAAGCAGAGGCAAGAGACAAGGCCCCAGAAAGGGAAACTGAGAGCACCAGCCTTGGTTTGCTACATTCTGATTCTAGTACCTCATGAAGCTTCAATTCCCTGAGGACACTCCAGCAACCTAACAAATTGCTTAGGCCAGCTAAAGTGGATTTCTGTCAGCTGTAACCAAAAGTCAATGGCATCTCCTTTCCCACCTTGTGCCAAACTTTTTCAGTAACACTGCTCTTCCGCAAAAGGTGTCTTGGTACCACTGCAAAGGCTACACTCTGGCTGCTGAGATGACCTAGCATGGCACTTCTTGACTCCAGGGGGTCTCAAGGCCGTTCCACTTACCAAGGCTAGCCTCGGCCAACAGCAGGTAGGCGGGCACGAGCTCCACTGAACTCAGGCCGTACACGTTCATGCGGAAGCGAAGGGAGTGCAAAGCTGCTGGCACAGCATCTTCGTGTTTTCCTTCAAAGAGATATTTCTGGGCTACGGTGTAGCAGAACTCAATCAAATGCTTCTGTGGAGGAGAAAACCAGACCATCTGAGACAGTCTAGAGGTAAAAGACAAAGGTGGATACACATATAGCTGGACATACAGCCGACACCTCATACACTGGTCGAGGGCACTCAGTAAGCCTGCCAGTGTTAAGGTAGACACAAGAGCCAAAATAAGTGATACGAAAAGGCAGACTCCGGACTGTGAGTTCCTGAAGGTCCGGGGACAAGTGTATTTTCATCTTAGTTCAGCACTTGGCATAAACATGTTCTCAATAGGAAATTATTAAATGAATATCATTTTCCTATATATAGTAGCATTTTAGTTTAACAAAGCTGTCATGCCTCAGGACAATCTAAAATTGTCTGCCTTTCTATTTGAGTTAATTTTAAGAAAATTTTCCTCCTGGTGTTATCCTGCTTAGCTAATATAAGAAGCAACTTTAACCCTGCATCATTCTAAGGCCACTCACAAAATGTCACAACACTAAAATTGATGAATCTGGTATTTTGAGATGTATGGCTTATAAAGTGCTTATTTTCATAAAAAAAATGAGATGCTATCAACGCCATAATAGTTTTCCTAATCTCCTGTATTTATTCACTGCTTTACATATTCACACACCATTGTGGACTTCCTATTGTGTGCCTGGGCTGTTACCATAGTACATGCCATATATGGGTATTGTAGCTGAATTCTGTCCTCCTAAAATTTATATGTTGAAGCCCTAATAACCCTAGTATCTCAGAGTGTGACTGCACTTGGAGATAGGGCCTTTGAATAGGTGATTGAGTTAAAATGAGGCCTTTAAGATGGCCCCTAACCCAGTCTCACTGGTGTCCTTATAAGAAATTTGGACACACAAGGAGATACCAAGGATGTGTGTGCAGAGAGGAAAGACCATGTGAGGATGTGGCAAGGCAGCCACCTGAAAGCCAAGGACAGAGGCCTCAGAAGACATCAGTCTTGCCAACACCCATGGCTGATCTTGGACTTCTAGCTTCAAGAACTGTGAGACGATAACTTTTGTTGTTTACGCTGCCCAGTCTATGGTATTTTGTTAGGGCAGCCCAGGGAGACTAATGCAGCAGATACTCAGTAAGTATGTGGAGAACAACGGACAGAATGGCACTGAGGACATAAAGACACAAAACAAGTCTGTGCACTCAGAGAGGTTACAGATGAGTGGTCGCAACCCAGTGCACCCTTCCTTCCGGGCGGTTTCACTGCACCCATGAGCGCCCCCAGGACCCGTCCTGCAGGGCCCACCTGCCGCCGCTGCAGCTGCTGGAGGCCGTGCTGCCGCTCCTCTTCTGAGTTGTAGAAGGGCATGGAAGTGCGCAGCGGAATCAGGAGCTGACAGATCTTCTCATGGATGCTGGCCCAGTCAGCTTTCTGATGAACCACACCGCTAACAATAAAAACATGCACTTCATTATCATCACTTTGGGCCTGACCTGTGATTCTATGGGCTCTACTCCTGGCCTAGCCCTAGAAACAAGAAAAGTAAGCCCAACACAAACCAGGCCAGGAGCCCAAAGCCATTTTGACGCCGTTCTCTTTCCTGTCTTGTGATTACTTGATGGTGGAAAAATTATGTTGGGGTGTGGAGGGGTGTTGATGGATGTCCCTCCTGCAGGCACAGGTTCACGTGGGGACGCTGTGGGTGTTCTGTCTTTGCCTTAATAACAACAAAGATGGCTTTAATTTTATATTGTTCTAAGGTCATTTTCAAAATGCCTGAGTGCTGCAGCTGAGGGATTTGAGGGTCTTTTTCTGGGGAAGGAGAAAGGAATTTACACTTGATGAGGCTCTAGGAGACACTTTCCTGTAATCGGTGCCACCACATTTCACGACTTCGGAGAGCACCCCTTGCACTGTCTTCTGTGCTCCTGGGAGTGCTTTCACGTGGAACACACCGTGAATGCCTCCCAGCAGGTGGTCTTGCATGTAACTAATTAACTTTTGAAAACAGAATAAAATCTGTTATTACTGTTTTAAAGATAAAGAAGCATAGCTGTCAAGAGATTAAGTAGTTACTCTGAGCCTGTACTCCAAAGCCAGTTGGTTTTTAGCTCGCTAAGAGAAGCACTGTGAGTTTGGTACACAGCTTTTTTGACTGTTTCACACGAATATTTAGTATTTTTAAACACTCAGTGAGACAGCACACATGTAGAACATTTGCATCACTGCAAAAAAATTTAATTGGGCAGCACTCCTAAAGAGTATCTATTCCCATTCCTTAAATAATTGCTTATATAAATGACTCCCAGATCTATTTATCCAAATCTCACCTTCCCTCCAATCATGAATTTTTTAACATTTTTAAAATTGATATATAATTCACATGCCATAAAAAATTTTACAAGTTAAAGTGTACAATTCAGTGTTTATATATTCACAGCCCTGGCCAGGTGTCTCAGTTGGTTAGAGTTCATCCCAATATGCCAAGGTTGAAGGCTTGACCCCTAATCAGGGCACATACAGGAACCAAACAATGAATGCATAGGGAGGTGAAACAACAAATTAATGTTTCTCTCTCCCTTTCTCTCCTTCTAAAAAATTAATAAGTAAAAAAAATTAAAATATATATGTATGTATATTCACAAGGTCTTATAACCATGACCCTATCTCTTTCATGATGTTTTCATTACCCAGAAACTCCATTCACTGTAGCTGTCATTCTCATTCTTCCCTCCACCCACATAATGCTTAGAAACTCTGGTCCACTTTCTCTATGTAGTTGCCTATTCTGGACATTGAATAAAAATGGAAGCAGACAATATGTGACCTTTTGTGTCTACCTTCTTTCATTTAGCATGTTTTCAAGGTTCATCCATGTTGTAGCATGTATCTATGTTATTCCTTCTTATGACTGAATAACAATTCACTGTATGGATATACCACTTTTTGCTTACCCATTCATTAGTTGCTGAACATTTGAGTTGTTTCCACTTTTTGGCTATTATGAATATTTCTGCTATGAACATTCATGTTTAAGCTTTTGTATGAACAAATATTTTCTTGGGTATATACCTAAGAATGGAATGGCTGAGTCATATACTAACTATATGTTTAAAGTTTTGAGAACTGTCACATTGTTTTCGATGGAAACTGTACCATTTTACATTCCAACCAATGATGTACAAGGGTCCCATTTTCTTTACTTCCTAACCAACACTTGTTGTCTTTTTTATATCATCACCCTAGGTGTGCGTGAAGCGGTGTCTCATTATGGTTTTATTTACAGTTCCCCAATAACTAATAATGTTGAACATCTTTTCAGGTGCTCACTGGTCTTTTGTATATCTTCTTTGGAGAAATGTTTATTCAAATCCTTTGCCCATTTTAAAAATATATTTTATTGATTATGCTATTACAGTTGTCCCATTTTCCCCCCTTTATTCCCCTCCCCACTGTACACCCACTCCCACCTGCATGCTCTGCCCCCCTTAGTTCATGTCTATGGGTCATACATATAAGTTCTTCGACTTCTACATTTCCTATACTATTCTTAACCTCCCCCTGTCTATTTTCTACCTACCATCTATGCTACTTATTCTCTGTACCTTTTCCCCCATATCCTCCTCCCTTTCCCTGCTGTAATCCTCCATGTGATCTCCATTTCTGTGATTCTGCTCCTGTTCTAATTGTTTGCTTAGTTCATTTTTTGTTTTGTTTTTGTTTTTTAGGTTCAGTTGATAGCTGTGAATTTGTTGTCATTTTACCATTCCTAGTTTTGATTTTCTTCTTTTTCTTAGATAAGTCCCCTTAACACTTCATATAATAAGGGGTTGGTGATGATGAACTCCTTTAACTTGACCTTATCCAGGAAGCACTCTATCTGCCCTTCCATTCTAAATGAAAGCTTTGCTGGATAGAGGAATCTTGGATGCAGGTCTTTGTCTTTCATGACTTTGAATACTTTGTTACAGCCTTTCTTGCCTGCAAGGTCTCTTTTGAAAAATCAGCTGATAGTCCTATGGGAACTCCTTTGTAGGTAACTGTCTCCTTTTCTCTCGCTGCTTTTAAGATTCACTCCCTATCTTTAATTTTGGGTAATGTAATTATGATGTGCCTTGGTGTGTGCTTCCTTGGGTCCAACTTCTTTGGGACTCTCTGGGCTTCCTGGTCTTCCTGGAAGTCTGTTTCCTTTGCCAGATTGGGGAATTTCTCCGTCATTATGTTTTTAGATAAGTTTTCAATTTCTTACCCTTCCTCTTCTCCTTCTGAGACCCCTATGATTTGGATGTTGGAACATTTGAAGTTCACTTGGAGGTTCCTCAGCCTTTCCTCATTTTTTTGAATTCTTGTTTCTTTATTCTTTTCTGGTTGAATGTTTCTTCCTTCTGTTCCGCACTGTTGATTAGAGTCCTGGTTTCTTTCTCGTCATTGTTGGTTCCCTGTGCATTTTCCTTTATTTCACTTCTCATAGCCTTCACTCTTTCCCCTACTCTTTTCCCACTCTTTTGCAACCATACTCAACCAATTCTGTGAGCATCTTGATTACCACTGTTTTGAACTCTGCATCTGATAGGTTGGCTATCTCTTCATCACTTAGTTGTACTTTTTCTGGAGCTTTGATCTGTTCGTTCATTTGGGCCATTTTTATTTTGTCTCAGCACACCTGTTACATAGTAAGGGGTGGAGTCTTAGGTGTTCACCAGGGTGGGGCAACCACATCACTGCGCTGCGGTGCTGTATGTGGAGGAGGGGTCCAAGAAGGAACAATGCCACTTGTTCAGCTCTCTGCTAGTTTTCAGTCACTTCTGCTGCTACCCATAAGCAAATTGGGTCCTTTTGGTGCAGATTCCCAGGTGGGTGGGTTGTGTATATTCTAGGACCTTGTGGGTCTCTCTCCAATGAATTCTCCTGTGAGGCTAGGAGTTTCTCCTGCTGCCTCAACCCCCACCAGTTTTTTCAGTCAGAGGTTTTCAGGCTTTATTTCCCTGCACTGGAACCCTGGGTTGCACAGTCTGTCTCACTCCCCATTTGTTCCTTCCTGTTTATCCACACACAAATGTGGGACCACCTGCTCTGCCAGCCACCACCTTGCTGTGCATCCTCTCCACCCCAGCTGCCTGTCTCCACTCCTCCTACAGGTCTGGATGAATGTTTCTTCTTTAACTCCTTGGTTGTCAGGCTTCCACTCAGTTCAATTTTCTGGCAGTTCTGGTTGTTTTTTTGTTTTTAAATTTGTTGCTGTCCTTCTTTTGGTTGTGCGAGGAGGCACAGTATATCTACCTATGCCTCCATCTTGACCAGAAGTGGCCCATGTTTTAATAAGGCCTTTTGCCTTGTTGTTGAGCTTTAAGTGTTCTTTACATATTGTGGATTCTAGATCCCTATCAGATACATGATTTTCAAATATTTTCTCTCATTCTGTGGGCTATCTTTTCACTTTCTCCTTAGTATTTTCTGATGCACAAAATTTTTTAATGTTGATGGTGTCCAACCTATCTTTCTTTGATTCCTTATGCTGATGGTATCATATCTAAGAACTGTTGCCTAATCCAAGATCACACAGATTTACAACTGTTTCCTTCTAAAAGTTTCATATTTTTAGCTGTTACACTTAGGTCTTTCTTGTAGCTGGTATAAGGTAGGAGGTCAAAATTCCCTCTCTCTCTTTTTTAAGTTTTTATTTATTTATTTTTAGAGAGGGGAAAGGAGGGATAAAGAGAGAGAGAGAAAAATATCAATGTGTGGTTGCCTCTCACATGGCCCCCACTGGGGACCTGGCCTGCAATCCAGGCAAGTGCCCTGACTGGGAATCGAACCAGCAACCCTTTGGTTTGCAGTCTGTGCTCAATCCATTGTGCTACACCAGCCACAGAAAAATTCACTCTTTTGCATGTAGATACCCACATATGCTGCCATCATACAGAAGAAGTGATTATTTTCCCAGAACAATGGTCTTGACAAACTTCTTGAAAATCAATTGATCGTGAATGTATGTGTTTATTGCTGGACTTTCAATTCTATTCCACTGATCTGCATGTCTATCCTAAAGTCAGTACCAAGCTTTCTTCCTAACTATAGCTTTGTAGTTAATTTTGAAATTGAGCAGTATGAGCTCTCCAACTTTTTTTTTCAAGACTGTTTTGGCTATTCTGGGTCCCTTGCAGTTTTTTTTTTTTTTAAGATTTTATTTAGTTTTTTTAGAGAGAGAAGAAGGAAGGGAGAAAGAGAAACATCAGTGTGTGGTTGCCTCTCACGTGGCCCCCACTGGGGCCCTGGCCCACAACCCAAGCATGTGCCCTAGACTGGGAATTGAACTGGCAACCCTTTGGTTCACAGCCCACGCTCAGTCCACTGAGCTACACCAGCCAGGGTTGGGTCCCTTGCGTTTTCATATTAATTTTAGGATCAGTGTCTCCATTTCTGGAAAAATGGCAGTTGGAATTTTGA